TCGAAGTTGACGTCCTGAAGACGACTATGACCTTAGTTCTAATAAAATACAAAGTTTCGTTTTTGAACGTTTCACGAGGATAACGGTCGATTTTGTAAATTCATTGCTATCGCTTTCGTAAGTTCAGGAATGGTCCAGATCTCTTGTATTTGACATCCTGAAGAGGACTATTACCTTAATTTTCATAAAATAACGAGTGGCACTTTTGGACGTTTGGGGTAAAAGGTCGATTTCGTAACTTTGTCTCTATAAGTTTCTAATTTATCAGACCTGTTAAATAACTTGTATTCGACGTCCTAAAGACGATTATGACTCTAAATTTTCTAACTTACAATGTTTGATTTTTAACCGTTTCACGAAAAGAACGGTCGAATTTGTAACTATGTCCCTATTGGTTTTGTATGCTAATAAACGGTCCAGATTGTTTATATTTTACGTCCTAAAGACGACTATGACCTTAATTTACATAAATTACATAGCTTTATTTTTGAACGATTCACGAGAAGAACGGTCCATTTTGTAACTTTGTCTCTATAAGTTTCTAAGGTTTCGGACTAGTCTAGATAATTAGTATTTGCCGTCCTGAAGGCGATTATGAGCATATTTTTGATAAATTACAAAATTTAATTTTTGAACGTCTCACGACTAAAACGGTCGATTTTGTCACTTTGTTCTTATGGGTTTCTAAGGTTTCTTACTTGTCTAAATAACTCGAAGTTAACGTCCTAAAGAGGATTATGACCTCAATTTTCATAAATTAAAAAGTTTCTATTTTGATCAGTTCACGAGGTAAACGATCGGTTTTGTACCTTCGTCTCTATAACGCTTGTAAGCTTAAGAATGATCCCGATCGCTTTAATTGACGTCCTAAAGACGATTATGACCTTAATTATAATAAAATTCAAGTTTCTTTTTGAACGTTTCACAAGATGAACGGTCGATTATGTAACTTCATCCCTATCGGTTTTGTAAGTTCAGGAATGGTCCAGATGTTTTGTATTTGACGTCCTGAAGACTACTTTGAACTTAATTATTATTAATTACAAAGTTGTGTGTATGAACGTTTCACGAGAAAAACGGTCGATTTTGTAACTCTGTCGATGTTGTTTTCGTTAGCTTAGGAATAGGCCAGATTGCTTGATTTGCTGTTCTGAAAAAGATTATGACTTTAATTTTTATAAATTACATAGTTTTATTTTCAAACGTTAGACGACGAGAACGGTCGAATTGTACCGTTTTTCGTATAGGTTTCGAGGTTTCACACTGGTCTACATAAGTTTTATTTGACGTCCTCAAGCCGACTATGATGTTAATTTTCATAAAATACAAATTTGCATTTTCGAATGTTTTACAAGGAGATCGGTCGATTTTGTAACTTCATCCATATTGGTTCGTTAGCTTATGAATGTTTTACATAGCTCGTAGTTGACGTTCTGAAGTCGACTATGAACCTTCGTTTTCATAAAATACAAAGTTTCGTTTTTGAACGTTTCACGAGGAAAACGGTCTATTTTGTAAATTCATTCCTATCGGTTTTGTAGGTTCAGGAATATAGGTCCAGATAGCTTTCATTTGACGTCCTGAAGACGACTATGACCTTAATTTTCATAAAATAACGAGTGGCACTTTTGGACGTTTGAGGTAAAAGCTCGATTTTGTAACTTTGTTTCTATATGTTTCTAAGTTATCAGACATGTTAGATAACTTGTATTCGACGTCCTAAAGACGATTATGACTCTAATTTTTATAAATTACAATGTTTGATTTTTAAACGTTTCACGAAGAGAACGGTCGAATTTGTAACTTTGTTTCTATTGGTTTTGTATGCTAATAAACGGTCCAGATTGTTTATATTTCACGTCCTGAAGACGACTATGACCTTAATTTACATAAATTACATAGTTTTATTTTTGAACGATTCACGAGAAGAACGGTCCATTTTGTAACTTTGTCTCTATAAGTTTCTAAGGTTTCAGACTGGTCTAGATAATTAGTATTTGCCGTCCTGAAGGTGATTATGAGCATATTTTTGATAAATTACAAAATTTAATTTTTGAACGTCTCACGACTGAAACGGTCGATTTTGTCACTTTGTTCTTATGGGTTTCTAAGGTTTCTTACTTGTCTAAATAACTTGAAGTTTACGTCCTAAAGAGAAATATGACCTCAATTTTCATAAATTAAAATGTTTCATTTTTGATCAGTTCACGAGGTAAACAGTAGTTTTTGTACCTTCGTCTCTATAACGCTGGTAAGCTTAGGAATGAATGATCTAGATCGCTTTAATTGACGTCTTAAAGACGATTACGATCTCAATTATAAGAAAATTCAAGTTTCTTTTTAAACTTTTCACAAGGGGAAAGGACGATTATGTAACTTCATTCTTATCGGTATCGTAAGTTCAGGAATAGTCCAGATGTCTTATCTTGCCGTCCTGAAGACGACTTTGACCTTAATTTGTATAATTAACATAGTTTTATTTTTCAACGTTTCACGAGAATGGTCGAATTTGTAACTTTTTCTATAGATTTCTTAGGTTTTGGAATGGTCCAGATAGCGTCTATTTGACGTGGTAAAAAGGACTTAGACCTCAATTTTCATAAATTACATAGATTTATTTTCAAACGCTAGACGACGAGAACGGTCGAATTTGTACCGTTTTCCCTATGGGTTTCTAGGTTTCGCACTGGTCTACATAAGTTTCATTGGACGTCCTCAAGCCGACTATGATCTTAATTTTCATAAAATACAAATTTGAATTTTCTAACGTTTCACAAGGAGAATGGTCGACTTTGTAACTTCGTCCCTATCGGTTTCGTAAGCTTATGAATGTTTTAGATTACTCGAAGTTGACATCCTGAAGTCGACTATGACCTTAGTTTTCATAAAATACAAAGTTTCGTTTTTGAACGTTTCACGAGGAAAACCGTCGATTTTGTAACTTCATTCCTATCGGTTTCGTAGGTTCAGAAATGTAGGTCCAGATGGCTTGTAATTGACGTCCTGAAGACGATTTTGACCTTAATTTGTTTAATTGACATAGTTTTATTTTCAAACGTTAGACGACGAGAACGCCTATCGGTTTCGTAAGCTTATGAATGTTTTAGATTACTCGAAGTTGACATCCTGAAGTCGACTATGACCTTAGTTTTCATAAAAATACAAAGTTTCGTTTTTGAACGTTTCACGAGGAAAACCGTCGATTTTGTAACTTCATTCCTATCGGTTTCGTAGGTTCAGAAATGTAGGTCCAGATGGCTTGTAATTGACGTCCTGAAGACGATTTTGACCTTAATTTGTTTAATTGACATAGTTTTATTTTCAAACGTTAGACGACGAGAACGGTCGAATTGAACCGTTTTCCCTATGGGTTTCTAGGTTTCGCACTGGTCTACATAGGTTTTATTTGACGTCCTCAAGCCGACTATGATCTCAATTTTCATAAAATACAAATTTGCATTTTCTAACGTTTTACAAGGAGATCGGTCGATTTTGTAACTTCATCCATATCGGTTTCGTTATCTTATGAATGTTTTAGATAGCTCGTAGTTGACGTCCTGAAGACGACTATGAACCTTCGTTTTCATAAAGTACAAAGTTTTGTTTTTGAACGTTTCACGAGGAAAACGGTCTATTATGTAACTTCATTCCTATCGGTTTTGTAGGTTCAGGAATATAGGTCCAGATAGCTTTTATTTGACGTCCTGAAGACGACTATGACCTTAATTCTCATAAAATAACGAGTGGCACTTTTGGACGTTTGAGGTAAAAGCTCGATTTTGTAACTTTGTTTCTATAAGTTTCTAAGTTATCAGACTCGTTAGATAACTCGTATTCGACGTCCTAAAGACAATTATGACTCTAATTTTTATAAATTACAATGTTTGATTTTTAAACGTTTCACGAAGAGAACGGTCGAATTTGTAACTTCGTCCCTATTGGTTTTGTATGCTAATAAACGGTCCAGATTGTTTATATTTTACGTCCTAAAGACGACTATGACCTTAATTTACATAAATTACATAGTTTTATTTTTGAACGATTCACGAGAAGAACGGTCCATTTTGTAACTTTGTCTCTATAAGTTTCTTAGGTTTCGGACTGGTCTAGATAATTAGTATTTGCCGTCCTGAAGGCGATTATGAGCATATTTTTGATAAATTACAAAATTTAATTTTTGAACGTCTCTCGACTAAAACGGTCGATTTTGTCACTTAGTTTTCATAGGTTTCTAAGGTTTCTTACTTGTCTAAATAACTCGAAGTTAAAGTCCTAAAGAGAATTATGACCACAATTTTCATAAATTAAAAAGTTTCTATTTTGATCAGTTCACGAGGTAAACGATCGGTTTTGTACCTTCGTCTTTATAACGCTTGTAAGCTTAGGAATGATCCCGATCGCTTCAATTGACGTCCTAAAGACGATTATGACCTTAATTATAATAAAATTCAAGTTTCTTTTTGAACGTTTCACAAGGTGAACGGTCGATTATGTAACTTCATCCCTATCGGTTTCGTAAGTTCAGGAATGGTCCAGATGTTTTGTATTTGACGTCCTAAAGACTACTTTAAACTTAATTATTATTAATTACAAAGTTGTGTGTATGAACGTTTCACGAGAAAAACGGTCGATTTTGTAACTCTGTCGATGTTGTTTTCGTTAGCTTAGGAATAGGCCAGATTGCTTGATCTGACGTTCTGAAGACGATTATGACCTTAATTTTTATAAATTACATAGTTTTATTTTCAAACGTTAGACGACGAGAACAGTCGAATTATCCTTCGTGTCTCGCACTTCGAGATTACGAAGGTAGTATCACTACTTCTATGTCTTTGACCACAAGTTCAGAGCTATAAAAAGAAAAAACACTAGCGTTACCTGGTTACCGTGACGCTTCCCCGCAACTGTTCACTCATTCATGTCTTTTGTGCCATACAGACCACACGTCAGTATAATTAGTAAATATTTATTTCCTTATTAATTTGTAAATTAATTCGATAATGGGTCGTCACAAGAGATCTAGAAGCCGGGATCGTTCGAACGAGAGGACTTCCAAAAGATTGCGTAAATTGGTAGACAACATTGAAGATATTATGTCGGGTCTCGCTATGATGAGCGAACTCATTTCAGCACAAAATGCTCCTGCATCGGTGCCGCCTGAGACAATTGCACCAAACCTTGAAGGTAATTGTGAATATAATATTATGGTTAAAAATGTTAGCACGAGATGCGATCGTTTTATTGACACGGCGTGCACACTCATGCCCGTGAGGCTTATTATGATGTTCAAAGACGAAGAATCATAACAATTACATCTGTTTATATAAATGTTTTGTTTTATCCGTGAGATAAAATAGGACTTACTTAATAACCACACTTTATCTGGAAGGTAAAGTTAAGATTTTATTGTTTTGTTTTATCCGAGAGGTAAAAATAGAAGCAATGTAAACAATCTAACTTCGTCTTCTTTTTGTTGACATTAACAGATGTTTAATCTGAGATATGAAATAAATAAAGATTGACTTATCTACAGATACCGATACTCGGGTGAATGATTTCGAGAATACAAATGTGAAGAATCCTGAGGTTTCAAAGGACACCGAAGATTCTGCAGCTCAGGTCACTCCAGACAGTGAAACAGGAATTCAGAACGAGAGTACCCCAGGAAGTGGTGATTCTCATAAAGAAGTTGCGAAGGAATCATCATCATCAGAGGAAGTTGAGGTTCCTTGGGAGCTAGATGCTGATGGCTTGCGTATCTTCGGGGAAGATCCTGTCCTCAAAGAACCTGAGTTGGTTCTGCACTCCAGTGTTACAGCACGCTGGAAGAAATACCTGTCAGATGGCTTGACCAAAGAGGTAAAAGATTCTTTATTGAAAAAATACCCTAGAAAGGGTAAATTGTCAATCGAGCCACCGATTTTAAATGATGAGGTGGCCGTAAATTTAAAAGAATCAGCCCTGAAGACGGATAAGTATTTCTGTTCAACACAGAAGCTTGCTGGATCTGCTCTAGCTGCATTGGCCCCAGTAATTGAGTCTTTAGCGCCTCTGAGGGACTCAAATCATGTTAAGAATCTGGAGCAAGTTTGGAACGCTGCGAAGCTATTGATTGAGATCCACAGATCTCAAACAGTCGCGCGTAAAGCTTGCATCTTGCCTACCCTATCCAAGCAATGGGCAACAGCGCTTGAAAAAAGAGTAACTGATGATTATTTGTTTGGTGAAAAATTGGTAGACAAAGTTAAGGAGATCAAGGCCATTAGTAAAGTAGGTGAGAAGATGAAGTCAGCTCCTGTTAAGAAGGCGTTCACAACACCAGGTCATTTAAATGCGAGGAGCTCGTCGGGTGAAAAGAAATCATTTGCTCCGGCGAGCAGGAAAACAACAACAACAGCAGCAACAGCAGCAAAAAAACCACTGACTTCCAGGAAACAATCGGGTTACCCGAAATCAACCCAATATCAGCAGCAACATCAGCGCTCCCAGAATCATTAGTCACCAAGCGTAATGTAAGTACTTTTGCGGGTCGTCTGCAACATTTTGTGAAGGTTTGGGAGTCGATCACTGAGGAGAAGGTTGTCATTCAGACAGTTAAAGGGTATAAAATACCGTTTGAGTCAACTCCTTCACAGACTTACCCTCCACTGCCTAGAGCATGGTCGGAACAAGAGTCAGTTTGCATCCAATCTGAAATCGATAGAATGCTTTCTATAGGTGCAATCGTAGAAACTCAGGAAGTTTTTGGTCAATTCCTTTCTCCTTTCTTCTTAGTTCCCAAATCGGATGGTCAGCAAAGGTTCATTTTAAATTTAAAGGCGTTGAACACATTTATCAATGCAGAACATTTTAAGCTTGAGGACGTCAGATCAGCTTGTAGTCTTATGGAAAACAATATTTGGATGGGCACGATTGATTTAAAAGATGCTTATTTTCTAATTCCAGTTTGGAGACCACATCGCAAATTTTTGAGATTTATTTTTAATGAAAAGATCTTTGAGTTTGTTTGCTTACCTTTTGGCTTGTGTACGTGTCCATTAGCTTTCACAAAATTATTAAAGCCCGTAATAAACTATCTGCGCTTGCAAGGATGGCTCTCAGTGGTTTACTTGGACGATTTCTTATGTTTAGGTCGTTCAGTTGACGAATGCAGTGAGAATCTGACTCAAACCATTGAGCTACTCAAAAAGTTAGGATTTATTGTTAACTATGACAAGTCCAAATTAAAGCCTGAGAGGAGATGTAAATATTTAGGTTTTATTTTAGATTCAATTACAATGAGAATTGAACTTCCTCAGGAGAAAAATATTGCGGTGCGAATGCAGATTGGAAGTCTTAAGGCAAAAAAGATGTTAAAAATTCGTGATTTTGCTAAGGTTGTTGGATCGGTGGTGGCTTGTTGTCCTGCAGTCGAGTACAGTCTGTTACACTGTAGGTTGTTTGAGAGAGCAAAAATCCAGGCTTTGAATAAAAGTGATGGTTGTTTTGATGCGCTCATGGCAATACCAAAGTATACCTTAAAAGACTGGGATTGGTGGCTGAAGGCTTTGCCAAAGGCTAGTAGAAAAGTGAGGAGCAGTCGGTATGTGAGAACAATCTATTCAGATTCTTCAATGTCTGGATGAGGTGCGTATTGCAATGGTGAGACCGCCAATGGACTGTGGAATCAAGAGGAGAGAGATCTTCACATAAATCATTTGGAGCTTAAGGCAGCTTTTTTGGCATTAAAATGCTTCGCAGCTGATCTAAGAGATTCAGATGTTCTGCTTATGGTCGACAATACTACGACGTTAGCTTATATCAATCGGATGGAAGGCGTCCGTTATTCTGCTCTTCATAAGTTAGCTTGCGAGTTGTGGAATTGGTGTGGAGCTCGTCAGTTATGGGTTTATGCTTCGTATATTCCTTCAAAGGAAAATGTCGAAGCGGATCATTCATCACGTATCGATAATTCGGATGCTGAATGGGAACTTGCAGAATATGCATTCAGAAGAATTACAATGAATTTTGGAAATCTGGAGATAGATTTATTTGCTTCGCGCATAAATGCTAAGTGCGCTACCTATTGTTCTTGGAAAAGAGATCCTGGAGCTTTTGCCTTTGATGCATTTACAATCTGTTGGTCTGATTGGGTGTTTTATGCTTTTCCTCCTTTCTCGATAATCACTAAAGTGATTAAGAAAATTAGAGATGATAGGGCAGAAGGCATTTTAGTTGTTCCTTATTGGCCGACTCAGGTTTGGTTCCCAGCCTTCAAAATGTTATCAATAGGAGATTGGATCCGGTTTGATGTTGATCCTAATATATTGGTTTCTCCTTGTAGGACACGACAACATCCGCTGGCGGAGAGGCTTATCCTGGTTGCCGCCAGGTTATCAGCCAGGCGTTGTTATTAAAAGGAACACCAGCAGAAGCAATTGACATTTCGATAGCTTATTTAACAGAATCAACGCTTAAAAATTGCAATGGAACATTGAAGCTTTGGTGGCGGTGGAATCAGCAAAATAATGAGAATCCATTTAATGTGTCAGTTGAGAAAATTTTGAAATTTCTTTCAGAAAGGTTTGACGATGGTATTGGGAATAGTACATTGAACTCCGCTAGAGCAGCATTGTCTTTAATATCGAGCGAGGATGTTACAAACAATCAGCTGATAAGCCGTTTTATCAAAGGATCCTCGAAGATAAGGCCCAGTTTGCCGAAATACGAATCTACGAGGGACGTGAATCCAGTTCTAAAGAAGTTGGCAGCATGGTTTCCGCTAGAAGACTTAACCTTGAAGGAATTGACAAATAAGCTGGTCGTGTTGTTGGCGTTGGGTACCGCTCACCGTTCTCAAACCTTGGCATTAATTAAAATTTCGAATATTATTGTTTTGGAGAGTAAGATTGAAATACTTATTCCTGATAGGATCAAAACTTCCCGACCAGGAGCTCCGCAACCGGTACTGAAGTTACCTTTCTTTCATGATCGGCCTGAATTATGCATTGCGCAAACCTTAAATTGGTATTTATCGGTGACGAAAAATCTTCGAGGGAATATAAATTCTCTTTTTATTTCTTTCAACAAACCGCATAAAGCCGTTACGAGTAAGACAATCAGCCGTTGGATAAGGTCAGCGTTAGAACACTTAGGAGTAGATAAAAGGTTTACTGCGCATTCTACGCGACATGCTTCAACCTCCAAGGCATGTGAAAAAGGTGTAAGTATCGCAGAAATTAAAAAAGTGGCTGGTTGGTCTCCTAATTCAAAAGTTTTCGCCGATTTCTACCAACAACCAATAAATATTGACAGCAATAATTTTGCAGACTCAGTAATATCAATTGGTACATCTGGATAATTATTTTAATTTTTTGTTGAGTTAAATTACTATTATTCTTATTTTCAATATTGTAATTAATTCATCATTAATTTCATTTTTATCAATATTTTATTTGTTTGGTAAAAATACTTGGTTTATTCAGGAATCCATTTTATTTTGTTTTTCTTTCATTCTGTTCTGTATTGTTTAAATAAATAATATTTAAAAGTAAAGAATGATTGCTCTAAACAGCTACCTTCGTAATCTCGAAGTGCGAGACACAAAGGATAATTGAAAGATCTCACGAGCCTGCCGAAGGCAGGCGAGGTTTGATCTCAATTATTCGAGTGTCTCGCACGAGAGATTCCCACCCACATATACTAATAAATATTACCCGCCCTCGATTTAAAAAAAAAAAAAAAAAATGGAAAAGCTTTATACAAATGAGTAAAGAGTTGCGGGGAAGAGTCACGGTAACCAGGTAACGCTAGTGTTTTTTCTTTTTATAGCTCTGAACTTGTGGTCAAAGACATAGAAGTAGTGATACTACCTTCGTAATCTCTCGTGCGAGACACTCGAATAATTGAGATCAAACCTCGCCTGACTTCGGCAGGCTCGTGAGATCTTTCAATTGTATAGGTTTTTTCTCGTATTGTATAAATTTTTCGTATAGGTTTCAAGGTTTCAGACTGGTCTACATAAGTTTTATTTGACGTCCTTAAGCCGACTATGATGTTAATTTTCATAAAATACAAATTTGCATTTTCTAACGTTTTACAAGGAGATCGGTCGATTTTGTAACTTCATCCATATCGGTTTCGTTAGCTTATAAATGTTTTAGATAGCTCGTAGTTGACGTTCTGAAGACGTCTATGAACCTTCGTTTTCATAATATACAAAGTTTCGTTTTTGAACGTTTCACGAGGAAAACGGTCTATTTTGTAACTTCATTCCTATCGGTTTTGTAGGCTCAGGAATATAGGTCCAGATAGCTTTTATTTGACGTCCTGAACACGACTATGACCTTAATTTTCATAAAATAACGAGTGGCACTTTTGGACGTTTGAGGTAAAAGCTCGATTTTGTAACTTTGTTTCTATAAGTTTCTAAGTTATCAGACATGTTAGATAACTTGTATTCGACGTCCTAAAGACGATTATGACTCTAATTTTTATAAATTACAATGTTTAATTTTTAAACGTTTCTCGAAGAGAACGGCCGAATTTGTAACTTTGTCTCTATTGGTTTTGTATGCTAATAAACGGTCCAGATTGTTTATATTTTACGTCCTAAAGACGACTATGACCTTAATTATATAAATTACATAGTTTTATTTTTGAACGATTCACGAGAAGAACGGTCCATTTTGTAACTTTGTCTCTATAAGTTTCTAAGGTTTCGGACTGGTCAAGATAATTAGTATTTGCTGTCCTGAAGGCGATTATGAGCATATTTATGATAAATTACAAAATTTAATTTTTGCACGTCTCACGACTAAAACGGTCGATTTTGTCACTTTGTTCTTATGGGTTTCTAAGGTTTCTTACTTGTCTAAATAACTTGAAGTTTACGTCCTAAAGAGGAATATGACCTCAATTTTCATAAATTAAAAAGTTTCTATTTTGATCAGTTCACGAGGTAAACGATCGGTTTTGTATCTTCGTCTCTATAACGCTTGTAAGCTTAGGAATGATCCCGATCGCTTTAATTGACGTCCTAAAGACGATTATGACCTCAATTTTCATAAATTAAAATGTTTCATTATTGATCAGTTCACGAGGTAATCAGTAGTTTATGTACCTTCGTCTCTATAACGCTGGTAAGCTTAGGAATGAATGATCCAGATCGCTTTAATTGACGTCTTAAAGACGATTACGATCTCAATTATAAAAAAATTCAAGTTTCTTTTTGAACTTTTCACAAGGTGAAAGGACGATTATGTAACTTCATCCTTATCGGTTTCGTAAGTTCTGGAATAGTCCAGATGTCTTATCTTGCCGTCCTGAAGACGACTTTGACCTTAATTTGTATAATTAAAATAGTTTTATTTTTGAACGTTTCACGAGAATGGTCGAATTTGTAACTTTTTCTATGGATTTCTTAGGTTTCGGAATGGTCCAGATAGCTTCTATTTGACGTGATAAAAAGGACTTAGACCTCAATTTTCATAAATTACATAGTTTTATTTTCAAACGTTAGACGACGAGAACGGTCGAATTGAACCGTTTTCCCTATTGGTTTCTAGTTTTCGCACTGGTCTACATAAGTTTTATTTGACGTCCTCAAGCCGACTATGATCTTAATTTTCATAAAATACAAATTTGCATTTTCTAACGTTTTACAAGGAGATCGGTCGATTTTGTAACTTCATCCATATCAGTTTCTTTAGCTTATGAATGTTTTAGATAGCTCGTAGTTGACGTTCTGAAGACGACTATGAACCTTCGTTTTCATAAAATACAAAGTTTCGTTTTTGAACGTTTCACGAGGAAAACGGTCTATTTTGTAACTTCATTCCTATCGGTTTTGTAGGTTCAGGAATATAGGTCCAGATAGCTTGTATTTGACGTCCTGAAGACGACTTTGACCTTAATTTGTATAATTAACATAGTTTTATTTTCTAACGTTTTACGAGAATGAACGAATTTGTAACTTTTTCTATGGGTTTCTTAGGTTTCGGACTAGTCCGGATGGCTTCTATTTGACGTCATAAAGAGGACTATTACCTTAATTTTCATAAAATAACGAGTGGCACTTTTACGATTATGACATTAATTTGTTTAATTGACAAAGTTTTAGTTTTGAACGTTCAACGAGAACGGTCGAATTTGTAACTTTTTCTATTGGTTTCTTAGGTTTCGGAATGGCCCAGATGGCTTGTATTTGACGTCATAAAGAGGACTATGTCCTTAATTTTTATAAATTAAATAGTTTTATTTTCAATCGTTAGACGACGAGAACAGTCGAATTGTACCGTTTTTCCTATAGGTTTCGAGGTTTCGCACTGGTCTACATATGTTTTATTTGACGTCCTCAAGCTGACTATGATCTTAATTTTCATAAAATACAAATTTGCATTTTCTAATGTTTCACAAGGAGAACGGTCAATTTTGTAACTTCGTCCCTAACGGTTTGTAAGCTTATGAATGTTTCAGATAGCTCGCAGTTGACGTCCTGAAGACGACTATGAACCTTCGTTTTCATAAAATAGAATGTTTCGTTTTTGAACGTTTCACGACGAATACGGTCGATTTTGGAACTTTATTCCTGTCGTTTTCGTAGGTTCGGGAATGTAGGTCCAGATTGCTTGTATTTGACGTCCTGAAGAGGACTATTACCTTAATTTTCATAAAATAACGAGTGGCATTTTTGGACGTTTGGGGTAAAAGGTCGATTTCGTTACTTTGTCTCTATAAGTTTCTAAGTTATCAGACTTGTTAAATAACTTGTATTCGACGTCCTAAAGACGATTATGACACTAAATTTTCTAACTTACAATGTTTGATTTTTAACCGTTTCACGAGGAGAACGGTCGAATTTGTAAAAATGTCCCTATTGGTTTTGTATGCTTTGAAATGGTCCAGATAGTTTAAATTTTACGTCCTAAAAACGACTATGCACTTAATTTTCATAAAATACATAGTTTTCTTTTTGAACGTCTCACGAGAACAATCAATTTTGTAACTTTGTCTATATAAGTTTCTAAAGTTTCGGACTGGTCATGATAATTAGTATTTCCAGTCCTGAAGGCGATTATGAGCATATTTATGATAAATTACAAAATTTAATTTTTGAACGTCTCACGACTAAAACGGTCGATTTTGTCACTTTGTTCTTATGGGTTTCTAAGGTTTCTTACTTGTCTAAATAACTCGAAGTTAACGTCCTAAAAAGGATTATGACCTCAATTTTCATAAATTAAAATGTTTCATTATTGATCAGTTCACGAGGTAATCAGTAGTTTATGTACCTTCGTCTCTATAACGCTGGTAAGCTTAGGAATGATCCAGATCGCTTTAATTGACGTCCTAAAGATGATTACGATCTCAATTATAATAAAATTCAAGTTTCTTTTTGAACGTTTCACAAGGTGAACGGACGATTATGTAACTTCATCCCCATCGGTTTCGTAAGTTCAGGAATGGTCCAGATGTCTTGTATTTGACGTCCTGAAGACGACTATTACCTTAATTTTCATAAAATAACGAGTGGCACTTTTAAACGTTTGAGGTAAAAGCTCGATTTTGTAACTTTGTTTCTATAAGTTTCTAAGTTATCAGACTTGTTAAATAACTTGTATTCGACGTCCTAAAGACGATTATGACTCTAAATTTTCTAACTTACAATGTTTGATTTTTAACAGTTTCACGAGGAGAACGGTCGGTCCAGATTGCTTGTATTTGACGTCCTGAAGAGGACTA